AGACTAAGATAATTAGGAAATAGCTAAATTAATTCAAACAAATAGACTTTGGTAATAAAATCAATTACTTGTGACATCCAAGAGCCACTTAGCTACAAGCGCACAAGTTTCTCTACTACATCACTATTTGGCTCAACCAATATATAAGTCTTCAAAAAGGCATAACATGATCGATTCAATTCAGCAATTTTCAAAGCCACCTCACCCCACTTTGCTAGGTAGCTCAACAAGCTTCCAAAGTATAGAGAAATTAGAATTGATCGGATGCAATATGCAAACAAACCCACAACACAAGCAAGTATAAATTCTTCAATAATTAAGCAATGGGTGTCCCAACTAGTCACCAAAAATTCCACTCAATCAATGTGGTTGCATATTATTGAAGTAAAGTTAGATATGTCCTCTATAATTTAAATAGTTCAAATCACTTGCAAAAAGCAACTAGCTCATTAGAGATTATCCAAATTGAGTTCTCCGCCCCATGCCTTCAAAGTATAGAAAATATTAGAATTGATTGGATGCAAAATAATGAAAATTTAGAATAAGCAAACGAAACAACGACACAAGCAAGTATGCTTGCTTCAATAATTAGACAATGGGTGTCCAACCAGTCACCAAAAATTCCACTCAAACAACCCCTCCCTCCCTTCCTCCCATATGTCCTCTGGAATTTAAATAGTTCTAATCACTTGCAAAAAGCGCAAAAAGCTACTAGCTTATTACACAATATCCAAACTGAGTTCTCCAACAAACTTCTAAGATTTAATCATGATAATAGACATATTAGTAAAAAGACCAAGACAATTATGAAATAGCTAATTTTATTCAAACAAATAGGCATTCATAAAAAAACCAAATACTGTGACAAAGTTAGTAACACAGTACATGAGCCACTTGGCTACAAGTACACAAATGCCTCAACTACATCACTATACAGCTCAACAAAAAATAAAATAGCCTTAAAAAAGGCATAACATGACTGATTCAATTCAACAATTATCAAAGCCACCTCACCCCACTTTTCTAGGTAACTTGACGATCCACCAAAGTATAGAGAATATTAGAATTGATCGGGTGCAAAATAATGAAAATTTTGAATATGCAAACAAATCCACGACACAAGCAAGTATGCATTCCGGAATATTTAAGCAGAGGGTGTCCCAACCAGTCACCAAAAATTCCTCTCAGTCAATGTGGTTGCATATAATTGAAGTAAAGTTGGCTATGTCCTCTATAAGTTATATAGTTCTAATCATTTGCAAAAAGCTACTAGCTTATTAGGGAATATCCAAATTGAGTTCCCCATATGAACTAATTACAATCAAAGTATTCATTAGTGCAATCTAAAAAAAAATTCTTTTTGTAGAAGATTGTAGGATTTGAGTTGTGCATCACATTGCTGGATAACAGATCTACTAGTGGAGTTCCATAATAAATAACTTTACCAAATTTGCATGCTCCATTAAAGAAAAATTAAAAGCCAGCAAATCTCAGTATTTTTTATAGAAAAATCATTTTCACCTGGTTAAATAGCAATGGTGCTCACTATTACATTTATATCCATAAAATACAAACAGAAGGAACGTGATGTAGGATGGAGGCCACTAATGCAACCTCAAATAAGATGCATAATTAAAACATTTAAAAAACACAATCCAAAGGTTACCAAAATATTGAATTATTAAAAATCATGCATTTATTATGTAATAATAGCCAACATGTATCGCTAACAAACTATTTCAAAGAGAAACTGGCCAAAATATGAAAAAATAAAAAAATTGGATGATTTCATTCTGAGACTCCTCCATTCTTCACACAAGATCTTTACGTGATGCAAAGAATGTTCCTTCACAAGCAAGATGATGTGAATCAATAGAAAAGGACCGAAGGCTTGATGTCCTGCACTTCGAGAAAGTGTCATGGAATGATGGGTGTTAAAATGCAAAACTTGCATACTGTGTTTGTTGGTTAACGAAGAAATGTAAATTTCTATCACCGAGATTTTATTTCCCATAGACAGTGCCAAGCTTGTGTGTGTTGGAAGATTCACGACAGTAGAATGATAATCTAACGTTTTAGTATTATACAAAAATCTCGCAAATATACAGATGATAAAAAAATAGCAAGAGAAAAGACGATAAATTTTTATATGGAAAAACCTAAAAAGAGAAAAATCACAGAGCCTAGCCCAAACAGAGTATTCCACTATAAATGCATAATTACTATGAGTGTAAATGAACCGAGTCGTCTCGAGCTTAGCTCATTAATGAGCTCACAAGCCAAGCATATCAGCCACGAGCTCGAGCTCGAGCTCAAACTTGAGCTCGTCAAGCTCGAGCTTGTCCCGGCTTGGCTCGTTGGCTCGTGAGCCAGCTCGATTAGCGTACCTCTAGTCATTTAGAAGCATTTTTTTATGAGCTATTCTTGTATCCTCCTCCCCCTCCAGCCATCAATACCTTCTCTAGTGAGCTCCCGTAAAAATTAAATTTTTATTTCTAGCTCGCGAGCCGACTGTTGCAACAATGAGCAGAGCTCCAGCTCAGAATTTGGCAGACCAGTGAAGCTCAATAAAAGCATGGCTCGACTCAACTCGACTTATTTACACCCCTAGTAACTACAAAGACGTCATTGTCCCGCAATTGAGAAAGAAAAGTTACAACACTATACCAAGTACAACAATTGTCCATGCATAATGTATAAATCAGTTTAGAAGTCTGAAAAAAATTGTTGTACTCTAAGTACGGCAATAAAAGTATTAGTTGCTGAAAGTTATCTTTGGATCTTTAATACGGTGTCATTTGTTACTCCGTATGCAGGATAATTCATAACACTATATTCAAAATACTTTGTTGCATCGCATTCAAGGATTTATCATTACACAATAGAACTCGCGAAAGACAGTGAGCAGGGAGCGGCAAACGACGGCCGACAGTGGCCGACACGCGTTAATCAGCGATGAACGACTATGGTCGACAGACAGTTGTCGACAATTGTCGGCGGCTACGGGGCTAGAAGTTATCGTTGATCTTACGTCCAAAACATCACTTGAATTTGACTAATTCTTCTTTCTCCCCCGAGTGAAAAAATTGCATCTATTTATAGCCTATAATAGAGGCGTTTTGATCCGTTGGCGAATAACTTCTGTAACCACCTGATCAGACAGCCCAAATTGATTCTCCTTGATCATTTTTTCAATGATTTGAGAGCTTTAATGACCTCAGAATTAAGCTAGTTTAAGCTCATTGGATTCATTTCATCGAGATCCTGGATTTGACTATAAGTACTTCAAACTTCAATTTTGTTTGAACATTCATATAATAATTTGAAGCCTCCAAATGTGTTTTAATGGATTGATCTAGACTTAATTGAACTTGAATTGAACCAATTTTGGTAACATCGGGTTTGTCTTATCGAGATGGACAGTTTGACTATACATTTATTGAAAGCGGGATTTTGGATGATCTTGAATTTGAAATTTGAATGTTTATTTCTCAAGAAATGCATCGAGACTCGTGCTAAATGATAAATTTTGTTGATGTCACGTCAATCATCATTAGTCTTATCCCAACTAATTGAGACCATCTTTAAGAATCCTCAATTTTCATTCATTATTACAAATTTTTGCCTAAGGTGTTCAACCTAATCTTTGCAAATTATTTTCGAAAATTTGTCACCATGTTGCATTAACTCCAACAATTCTCCATCCTAATGCACTTAAACTATTTTTTTTGCTCATCTAATTGATGCATTTTCTATCCTTAGTTGTCATTGTACAGATTGTGCTAGTCTTCAATTACCTAATATTCAGTAGATATCACTTCAACCATCCTCTAACATAACTATTCCTTCATTCAATCTTCCTAGTTTTGTTGTGCATCTAACCAAAGGTTCTCATTTATGCCACACGCTTAACTTAGATATCAGCACATGCTTAATGATCAATACTCTTATCCATACAACATTGGGGATTCAATAAAGCTTCAAGGTAAAAAAAAGTCACATTATCCAATGAATTTTAGGATTTCTCTTTTAAAGCTCCAAGGTAATAAAAACAGCCAAAGAGGCCAATGTATGAAAGCATATATAAATTATCTAAAAGGAATTGTTTCTTGGCTAAAATTGAGTTGTAAAAGAATATATAATAACAATGCATTTGCTAATATATATTGTAGCAACATATTTAAGTAAACACTTGTCCTTTTTCAATATAAGAACCTAACAAAAAACAGGCACATCAACATGGCAATATCACCTTCAAATTGTGTGATAGACTCTATGCCTATTCTTCACTCCTCACTATAAGCAAGCAACATTAAATTGACATTAAGTTTCTATAAAAGTGAAAAAGGAACTCGATTCCATTATTGTAAAAACAACGAAGTGCTTTACTTTCTAGTCCCTGCAGTGGGACTGAGTATATAGACCACCTAAAGTATCACCATTGATGGTTGATGACAACCATAACATAACAGAACTTGTTTGCCACATCCAATCAGAGAAATATTGCTCGAAGAAACCATGATGGTGAAAACAAGCATCACCCTAAAAATACAAAGTTTGATCATATAAATTTACAATCACAGTGGAATGGGCATCCGGATAAAGAATCTAAATAAAAAACACTTTGGAAAACCCCAACAAGCGCCATAAAAAAAGTCGGAGATAAATCAAAATCCTCGCAACAGTAAGCTAATTGTTAATTATACATAGACAGCAGAGTCACAAGCAGTTGATTGATCCCAACCACACACGCACCGCTGGCACCACAGTTTCCCATGGGAACAAAGAAGGATGGAGGGAAAAGACACAGGAAATTAAATCCAGACATTTCCACAGAGATCCTGTGAAACACCAATGAGCATGGTGCAGGAAAAAAGTGTAGACAAGGTTTGAGCAATTCTTAGATAGTTTTAAGGGATGAAGCAGATGAAACCTAGAATTCAAATATTAGAGTTATAACGGTGAAAATAATTATCATGCCCATGTAAGCACATGCATACCTGTAGAGCTCCTCGAAGCTGAGCCCGCTGGCGTTGTGATTGTAAATCTCGTGAATCGCGTGTTCGAGAATTTTCCATGTCTTCTCAGCATATTTAGGATCAACCTCCACCCTGTGCTTGAAAGCCTCAATCTTGAAGTTTCTTTTCTTTTGACTGCTCATACTATCACTTCGGATGGAGCTGCCGAAAACAACGCCTACGAGGTTGCGAATATGGGGAAGATGAAGCGAATAGGGATTAAAAATAGCGTGTTCCAAAAGAACAGAATCAAATTCAAGTACTCCTCAAGGAAAAGAGAATAAATAGTCAGGGTTAGGGTTTCCCACGTTCGATTGAAATGAAGTGGTAAAGCTTCGGGAACAGGCAGCGGAGTAGGGAAGAGAAAACGATGGTTATCGAGGGGTGGTGCCTGTAAAGAAAGTCCCGCAGAGAGATTGGCAAACAAATTTAACAAGCTATCCTTTACGCAACTTCTTAGTTATTGGCATGAGAAGCTCCCCAACAATCGCTTTTCTCCAGCCATAGCTTTGCAAGGAGTTGCGAACAGCTATCTTCTTCTCCAGTGTCCTTCTTCGACGGCAACCTTTTTCTTTTGAGATCTGCCTTCCGGTGATTCGTTTTCCCACTCCGTTCTGATTTTCGGCTGCGGCTAAAAAACACAAAAAAAAAAGAAGGTGATTTGCAATGAATTTTAAGAACTATGTTAAACTGATGATTGATGTATTTTTATGAGAATAGTTATTTAAAAAGAAATTTAATAATAAATTTAAATATAATAAAAGGGGTATTTTCATACAACAACACAATTATGTAACACCTAAAATTTAATATTTACATTCATAACACTCATATTTTTAATATCACATCAAAAATACCACTTTTATATTTTTTTTTAAAATCAAATGCATTTTTTCTTATACAAAGATTTATAACACTGTATTATAAATATAAATATCAAATTTTAGGTGCTAGATAAGTAAATTCTGCATAAGAATTGGATGTTGTGTGTATAAATTTCCCAAAATAAAATCATAAAAGGTACCATCAACTCTTAAAAGTTGAGAGTTGTGTTAGGTAGTCGACAGCCAACATAAGATTTTATCAAAAAATTATGATATAAATCCTTTAAATCATTATAAAAATTTTAGGGCGTCCTCTGGAAGTTACACCATGTGTGGCTGTCGGTCAGGAATATCGATCAGGTTGATTTTGTTGTTTTGAAAATATTTTTTTAGATTTAATTTAATACATATAGATAAATTTGATTTTGGAAAAGTAGTATGTTAATTTTGAAAATAATGTTTCAATTTTGAAAATATGAGACTGAACCGATCTCACATATACAATAGTTTAAATGATCGAGCATAACACCGTAAATGATGCATCTATCTCGAGGAATCGACACTACTCCACTAGTGATGCTTGATTAAATAAACAAAAGAATTTATATAAGCATCTACCTTGCTTATGTAAGCCGACAAGTTCTCCTATCTAATATGAAAAATTAGATTGAGTTTATATTAAGATGGGTTCCAAAGTTCCGTATAGAGACAAACTCATATAGTTAATTACATCTTAAGTGACCGAGGTCGCTTAAGAATACTCTCGATTCACACTAGCGGTTTTGCTCTCAAGAATTCCAAAGTTTATGGTTTTCAAGAATGGACATTAGAAGTGCAAAAGAGATTGGATCAAGTAGGAACAGGTTTTTGGGAATCCAAATGAATTAAATGTAGGAGATGTCATTGATATAGGGAAAACCCTGGTGACTTCATAAGCTATCTTATTAATTGGCTTTGATTTAGAAATGACATCACTTGATGTTTCATCCGGCCAATTTTATTATTTTAGGGCTTACATTTGTGTGACATAGTCATACAAATAGTCTGGAAGATATGAGGGTTTATGTCGTAATGAACGATAACCTCGAAGCCAAACACAAGTTAGGGCTTAGATTGCACAATATGATTGTGCAAAAGCCTAAATGTGAGTTGAGAATTTATGTCGTACTAGATGGGCTACCTCGAAGTCCTATGACTTCTTATTTAATTCTAAAGAAAGGTATGCTGTTGTAGATCTAGCTGTTCTCCCAAAGTTGTTCTTCTGTTCATCCCCGTCATGCTGCCCACGGAGTTAGCTCCAAGCTCCTTGTTAAAGTGACAGCTTCAGATCTTTAGGGTTTAAGGTTGTACAATTTTCATGTCAAGTTTTGTTATTGTTCCAAGTAATATAGGGTCGGTTAAAGTTGATTAGAGCGACACCAGTTAGGATCCCACGGTTCCCTCATTCCGCTACCACTATTTTCTTTTGAAACTACTTAGTCTAAACGAGTTGTTAAGCTCATTTAAATCAAGAAGATCTCGTTAGCAACTGTGGGTTACCTCATAGGGACTCCCGTAAATTTAAAATGACGTATTATGTTTGTTTGTTGTTTTTGAAAAGGGTTGTTTAAGTTTAATTTTTGAAAAGGTTTGTCTTAATTTTGAAAATTGTTGTTCTAGCTTTTGAAAAGTATTTTCAACGAAGTATGCATAATACACTAAAGTGATAATAAATTGCAAAAATAAAATGATAATAAATAAACTGTAAATGTGTATCGGTCATCTTCTCGTTGTTTCCGTAGAAATGTTAGCATCCATAATCATGTGTATATTGCAAAGTAAAAGTAAAACCAACTACTAAGTGGTAGTGAAGCCTTAATGGTTTAAATTCAAAAGAGACCACAATTCATAACTTGGTAAGCCCCTTAGGGTTTTAAGGATAATTTTCTGGAACAAAGCATAATGAGTTCAATTGTTCTTCAAAATGTCTATAAGATTATATATTTTTTTGGGGCATAGCCCTAAACAACTCTTAAGAATCCTTTTAACTATTTTGAGTTCATTTGAACTTACTATGTTGTTGAATAGAACATCCCAAGATTTGTTAGGTTTAAAATGTGCTCAGTTCACCATGTCAGTTAACCCATGAGAAAGAGGATAAACAAGTTTGAGCTTGCAGTGTTTGAGGGGGATTAATTATGGTTTCATTTCCAACTAATCCTCAAGCATCCTTAGATTGAACTTAGCTAACTACAAAGCTCAAAAGAGTCTGGGGGTAGATGTGTAATTTTGAAGAAAGAGGTCAAATTAATATTATTTAATTAAAAGGTTAACTTCTGACTTATCCATTTGTTTAAGGATTCTAGATTGGTATGTTGTTGACTTCCTAACTTATATTCTAAACATTTAAATCATTCAAATCAATTCATCTTCCCCATTTTAACAATTGGGATAATTATAATTGTAACCTTTTTCTTTTAAAAGTGGGGTTAATTGGTTTCTACCTCTTACCCTCATGTTCAATCACTTTAGGATGTTGCTTAGAATTAAAATATTGCCCTTTAAGTTTTTAACCCATCCTAAATTCTTAATTAAGGTGAAAGAATGGAAATTACAATTTTGCTCCTAAGGCTCCTATCTTCATAAATTTTTAAATCAAATCTCATGGAACTGAAAATTTGCTGACTTATCTTTCATGAGTTAATTGAGATACCAGAGAAAGAATCATATTTTTCCAATCTTTATTTTAATTTAGATAATTATTTTAATCCAAAAATAGGAATTTCCAAAATTAATTCATTTAATTAATCAAAATAAAGCTTTTGTATTTGGGAAAAGTATTGGAGGTTCAACTAGGTTTGAGGAACACTCCACCAAATTTCATGAATTTTTAATTATTATAATTATTTGTTTGTTTTGAGGATTAATTAAATATAAAATACAATTTATTTTGAAATTATTTTTTATATTTTTCATTGGTCTCTCTGACCTCAAGGAACTCAGAGAAATTCATTTCATATTTTTCTGATATTTATTCTATTTTGTATACATGTTTTAGTGAAAATTTAAGAAAATAGATTTTTAGGAATTTAAAAGTACATACCCTTATTTAGAAAATTAGAAAAAATATTCTAATTGATCCCAAGTCGTCAGATAAAAATTAAGGACATTTAGGTGCATTTTTATATTTTTGTGATTTTTTGAATTTTTAATTATTTTAAAATTTAAAAATAGCCCAAAAATGAACTATTCATTTTAATGTCAATTTTACTTTTTTTGAGTGCCCGGGCCACAAGAAACTCTAAAAATAACTTTTCATAATTTTTTTAGTTATATTTTAATTATTTAAATTATTTTAATGCCAAAACTTGATTTTTCTTGAAAAATAAACTTTAGTGGTTATATTAATTCAAAATGGTTTCAAAATTTTATAAAGGGTTAATATGTTCAATACCTTCAATAGGAATCAATTTTTATAATCTTTTAAAGTATATTTTATTTATTTCAATTTTATGGGTTTTAATGACTTAAATTAAGAAATTACATTACAAAAAACATTTAAATTTAGAATTTATTTTTCTTATGTTTCTTTGATCACAAAGAACCTACCAAAACAAATATCATAATTTTCTAACTTTTATTTTAATTTATATAGTTATTTTAAGCAAATATATGACTTAAATTTGGAATTTATGGTGACTTTGGAAAAGTCGGAGAATGCTCCTAGAAATAGAGAGAATAAACCCTCAAAATTTCATACCATGGTGATTAATATTTAATTTCCTATGATTTAAACAAAATTTAGAGTATTTAATTTATTTTAAAAATAAATATAAGTCAAATAATTTATTTTTGTTCACATGATTCTCCTATGTTCACTAAGCACAAGAGTATTTTTATTTTTTTTATAATTTATCTACACCAAGTTATAAATTTTCTAAGTTTTTTGAATTGATTAAATAAAAAAAGGCCTATTTTTCTATTTATCCATGTCGACACCACGTAATCCTATGACCCATTGAAGCTCCACGCATCACCACACTATTGGACACCGCCTTCTGAGTCAGCCACCACACATATCGCCTTTACCGCTCCATCTATTCGTCTGACGCAATCTGGTACGTTCGTCCAATACACGTACTACTGGACAACTCATGGTCATCGTCGTCCCTAAGTGACCTAACCCATAAACCGCTCGTTTTCAAACCTAAATTCTCCCTAGATTCTCAACCAAATCATGCAGGTTTTGTTCCTACACCATCATCTATTCAAGACGAACGTATCTATACGATTGATCAGATATGAAATACAAGTTTGTTTCACAAAGGCTCAACCTGAGCTCAAAATTGGGAAAAATGGTTCATACCTTCGTCCAAGAGGTGTAGCCTTAATTGGAATGATTCTACACATTCGTTGTGGTCTAAAGAACCTCCAAGTGTCAATTTGTGCTGGGGTTGGAGCTATGTAAGACTTTCTGCAGCATGTAGCACGACTCAGGTAGAAGTCTGGTGTAGAGAGCTCAATTGATAGGGATATCAATGGGGAACTTCCTCTCTTGCTCTGGTGAAGCTCAAGAGTAAATCAGTTTGTGGAATTAATTGAGTTCCAATGTTGACAGTGAAAAGCCCTAGATTTCAGGTTTGAAATTAAGGCTAATCAGTGAGAATTGGAGCAGAAAAAGGGTGGGTATTTGCTTCTCTGGATTGCTAGAGGGTCTAGAGAAATTTTGGCAGAGCTTGGTTAAGATTTGAGCACTCTTCACATTTGGCCGTGGGAGGTCCTCCATTTATAGTGGAGGCTCTGGTGGCCAACATGGCATGTCATGGTGGCAAGGCAACCTCTTAGATGGAGGGAAGAAAGGCTTCAGTGGC